CAACCTGATGAGAGCCCTCGACACACACCGGAAGGCTTGGCTGTTCCTTGCTATATATGTGTTTGCAGCAGTGACCCCCTTTTGTTTTTTAAAGATTTTATATAAGAAGAGAAGCGGGGGGAGATCAATGTGTGGTGGCCTCTCCAGGGCCCCCTACTGGGGACCTGGGCCACAACCCAGGCATGTGCCCTGACTGCGAATCGAACCAGTGACCCTGAGCCAGCCAGGGCCTCTCTGTTTTCAAAGACGCAAGGCCCTTGATTGCTGACGCCTTCTCAGCTTCTTCTTAATTCCTCACCTGATCTGATTATTTTTCTGGCCAGGTCATCCGGGTTACTGGATCCCCACCCCCACCCCAATCCCAGTCAGAGCAGGCTGTGGTGGGGTGGGGAAGGACAGGCAAAGATAGTGACTCAGTCACTGAGGCCAATGGAACAGCTCTCCCTTCTTGGACCAAACCGGAAAGGCTTAGGCGGCCTTCATTCCAGCGTGTTCGTTTTCCCCAGGCTTGCATTTTTTTTAAGACTTTTAACTTTTAACTCTAAAGGGATGACTTGGCCTACGTTTAAGGAATTTCAGGAATTACGTTCATGATACCATTTCTCTTTAGTCTCTGCAAGGTCCCTCACTGTAATCTCTTTTATCTGAATACTCCACTCCCCTTTGCCTGCACCCTAGAGCTAGCCATTCAATTATTTCCTTTGTTTTTATGTGTTCTTGCCACCCCTTCCAAGTGTGTTTTGCTGTCATGCATTTTAAATTTGCATGAAAAGAATTGCAGTATTTCTCATTTACTGTTTCACTCAGAGCTAGGAGTTCAAGATCAATCTGTGTAGCTCCAGCCCCTTCTAACTGCTGCCTCCTGTGTATGGTGCTCATCTCCTGCCACCACCAACAGTGCAATCATCGGTGTCAAACTAATGGCACTGTGCAGCGCTTCTCAGTGTGTACATGTATCACCTGGGAACCTTGTTAAAAGGCAGGCTCTGATTCTGAAGGCCTGGAGTGGGGCTGAGACTCTCTACTTCCAACCAGCTCCCAGGTGAGACCTGTACTGCTGGTCCTGGGACCAGGTCCTTAGGGGCCTCTGTGAGAATTCATTTTGTGTGGCTGGGTTACCAAGTATGTGTTGATCTAATTTAGTAGGTACTGCCCATCTGCAACACCCTACCCCGTACCAGCAGAGCGGGAGAGTGGAAGGAACATACAGGGTGGGGCAAAAGTAGGTTTACAGTTGTGGGTATGTGAGACAGAGTTTATTCTTGTAGTATTCACTATTGTATTGTTTGCCTTATGAACAAACCTACTTTTGCCCCACCCTGTATTTATGTGGGGAAGGGAAGAAGGCCTTCTGGTAGTTCCTGTCCACATCCTGTCCCCTTAGGGCAAACTCATTTTCAGGGGGTATGGGGGCAGGGCACATCAGCCTCACAGTTGCCTTCAAAGGGAGGAATGTAATTTCTGGACTGTATAAATGTAACTACTCCTTAACAGTTAAGCAAGAGCTTGGTGCTGCCGCTGGGTAGAAACAAGGAGCCCGGCTGGATAAAACAGAGTGGAGGACCGGATTCGGCCCGAGGGCCTTGTGTTTGCCACCTTTGCCTTAGGGCCAAAACCTCCACTTTCCCTTAACTGGAATGACCCAAGGCTCCAAAGTAACATCGCTGACCAGCAATACAGGGCTAGGTCTGTGGTGGGCCCCAACCAGCATCCAGGCTTTAGCTCTGACAGTTTTAAGAACAGGCACGGAGTCTGCAGTTAGGTAGTGTTCCTCTATCGCTTTCCCTTTAGTAGCCTGTTAGGTAGACTAGGACTCAAACAACCCGGCCTCACCACTGCCAATAGCTTTCCTGAACCTGACTTCCCATCTCTAGAATGGGATAGTAACAGAATAGCTACAGTGTGTGGAGTGAGGAGTCAGTCTGGGAACTTCTCCCACATGCCAGAAGCCCCACAGGCGCCCTGACACAGGTGTCTTTACCTTTGTTTTACCGATGAGGAAAACGAAGTTCAGGAAGGCTTAGCAATTTCCACCAAGGCCATGGAGATAGGAAGTGACAATGTCGGGACTGAAACCCAGCCTCAGCAAATACATCAGAGCCCATGCATTATCGCCTCCAGGTCCTGCCTTGCCATTGCTTCCAGACCATGTTTCAGGGAGAATCACAAGGAAATGGGAAGGAAGGACTGTGCCTGGGGTTTTAGGCATGGATGCTGAAGGCATCTAACCAGTGGCATGCTGGGTTATGAAACTCTACAGCAAATGAGTTTTGGCAAAAATGAACCCAGGTTGTAGGGGGCTGGTCCTCAGGGCTTCAGTATTTAGGCAAGAGAGAGGGACTTCGGGTCTAGGGCTCAGGAGCAGGGCTTTCAGGGTTAGATGTACAGGAGGTTCAAGGTTGGGGAGGAATTGGGGAGGGTCAGGAATTGGGTGAGGGTTAGGAGTGGGGTAGGGGTCAGGTGGTTGGGTCTTAGCTGTAGGTAAAGCTGTCAATCATGTGCCTCCCTTGGGAATAGCTGATTCCTCACTGTTGTGTTTGGAGGGTCAGCAGCTGTGCAAACAGCCAGCACCCTAGGCGTCAGAAACGCCACCTCTCACAAGGGATTCACAGTCTTCCTGGTGCTGTGAGTAGCTTGCTGGGTGCATTTTGGAAACCGCGGGCCATGCTTTTTCCACTCACATAGCTGTGCAAGCATTGCCGGGCACTAAGCCTCAGTCCCAAGCATTTCACAATCAGAAGAGTTTGACATCTGCATATTTTGAGACTGTATGACACACAAACATTTTTACATCTTGTCCACACCCATCCATCCTCTGTTTACCACTATAGTTTTAATCCGTTACAGAGTATTTCTCCGAAGGCCTAGGGAAGCTTCCTGCTCTTTCTGTGGCCTTTGGCCTCAAAAGACCTGTTGAGCCTAAGAGTTCGATATAATACCTAATTGTTTCCTGGACTTTACAAAGTACTTCACATACTAGGAATGCCTTTGACTCAACTCCATGGCAGGGTCAGGACCCACTTAGCACAGGCTCAAAAGAATGAGTTGGCCAAGGCCACACAATGTATAGGTGGGTTAAATGGGACTTGATTGTTTTTCTAGAACAGACCTCAGGAGACTTAGAGTGGGTACTCTCTGGGGGCCCCACTGCCCTATCCAGCCCATTTCCCAGACTTGGGGGTGTGGACTGAGGCAGGAACTAGGGTGTGTAGGGAGTGGGGGAAATGCCTGGGTGGGAAGGTCTGGGAAGTGAAACCACATGGGACTTGTGGCCAGCCCTCTTCTAGCTAGATTTCTGTTGGTGGACCCTTCCTAGAGCATGGGCAGGAGGGGGGTTGGTGGGAGGAATGGCAAGTCCGGGGGTACCCAGGCAGGAGTTCTCAATGAGTCTGAAGCTGAGAGAGCTGCAAGAAAAAGATGCTACCAGTTGCTCAGGGGGCTCTAGTGGTGTCACCACACCCCCATGGGAGTTCTAGGTCATCTGGCCAAGTTCCGCTCTTACCTAAGCCTTCTGCCCTATCCCCTCTCCTTAAAGCCCCTGACCCCCCATACCAAGTACCTGCAGCATCAGCTTGAGGGAGGTTCCCAGAGTTCGGGCCAACCTACCCTGCCAGTTCCAGCAACATCACTCATGACACAACCAGTGCTAGGGACTGGAGGTCTGGGTCTGCTGAGGCAGGAAGGCTCTGGTCTCACTGCCCTCCCTCTCCCCTGGGGCCTGAGGCCCTAGGCCAGGGCTCAACAGACACAGGCAGCGAGATGGGGTTGCCCTTCTATTAGTCCAAGTCCTGACCGTGGCCTTGGTGAGACATGGAGGCGAGGAGGCCCACGAGGCTCAGCAGCGTAGAGAACAGCAGCAGGAAGGAGATGGCGAAGAGCAGGGCTGGGAGGGCACTGAGCACCAGCAGCAGGATGGCGGGCAGTAGATGGCGCCACGCTGCAGCCACCACAGACCACAGGGAGCTCAGCAGGTGGGAGCCGGTAGTGAAGAGTGCGTGGCACAGTGTCAGTGCCAGCAGCAGGTAGAGGATCCCCTCCAGACCCCAGAGCACACGCCTAAGTGGCTGCCGCCAGCTCGATGTGGTCCACCACTGGATCCAGCTCTGGGGCACGTGGTACATGGACCAGCGCACCCAGCCCTGCCGTGTGACCCAGGCCGACCAAGGCATGGCCGGCTGTGGCCCCTCACCGGCTCCGATGGCATCTGTCTCCACTCGAGGCTGCTGCATCACAGATGGTGCACCTGGGGAGAGGGCTAGTCCAGCTGCAGGAGCAGCCCTGGAGATGCCTGGGACCTCGGGGGGGGGGGGCGGTGTGCAGGGGTCAGGAGGGCACCAGTGTGGGTAGGGTGGGGCTTTGAGCTGGGGTCTGGATCTTACCTCTGGGCAAATGTCCCTAAGTCATGTTGCTTCCTACAACACCCAGGAGGCCTGGCAGCCAGAGTCGAGCCCCTCTTTCACTCTCCCCCACCCCCTCCCCAGAGGAGTCCCATTGTGACCCGGACTGGGGTGGGGTCCAGCTAAGAAAGGAGCCACTGCATGGTGTGAGCCTCAGCTGAGCCTCTCTCCATGGACCCTTCAGGCTGGCAGGGGAGCCTGGGGAGCCTGGGAGCCTATACGTGTAGTTTCTCATGCTTTCTTGTGGAAAGCCCTCTTGGATCCCTGTCCCTTCCCTACTGGCTGATGAGTCCCATTCCACTTTCTTGCAGGTTTCTCTCTCTGGGCCTTCATTCTGTAGAACCACAGAGGAGACCTGAATGGCCAGCCTCAACCTGCGTGTTCTGAGATGGCTATCGCATCATGCCCTGGGCTCCTTGTCCTTTATCTAACCTTCTAACATTGTCTAGAATCAGACCCAGGTATCCACTGTCCATATTGTGGGGCCAGAGGTCCAATGAGGTTTAGGCTGGAGACAAATGTGTACCATCCCACCTGCCCAGCCCAGGAGGGAGGAAAGGAAACCTGGAGATGAACCTTGATCAATGTATTTCTGGAGGGCAGTCAGGCCCAAGGATGGATACAGAAAGCCAGGCCAAGCAGTGTCAAAGGCACACCTTGGGCTCCCAGGAGCAGCTGCAGGCCCAGAAGCAACAGCAGCAGAGCCTCCTGGAGGCTAAGTTGTCCTGTAACAGCCGCTGTCTGCAGGAATAGAGCCTCCTGCTGTCTTGGACCCTCTCCAGCCCCCTGATTTTGGCCCCCTGCAAGAAGTGTGTGCTGTGGTCTCATGGGACCTGCGGGCCTGTAGAGAGAGAGGATAGCAGCTGGGTTTCAGGAGGCTGACCACTTGCTTGCTTGCCTGAACCTGCCCACCTGCCAGGCTGCTGCCCATTTACCTGTGGAGCAGGTCGAAGGCCAGGAAGCTGACCAGTAACAGCAGCAGCAGCAAGGCTGGGCCAGCCATGGAAAAGACTGCCCGAATCGTCAGCAATAGTGCCCCCAGCCCTAGGACACTGTCCAGGAGCTGGGCTGGGCTAGGGCCCCAGGAGGACACACATGGACCGGCTGAACTATCCAACCCCTCCCCAGCACCCAGGCCCCTGGGAGGGACAGGGATAGGATAAGCATGGGCTTCAGGCCTAGGTAAGCAGAGCTGGGTCATGGAGGGAGGTGGAGGTAACAGGTAGGGGCTGTGCTGGGAGGAAGTACTGGGGGTGGGAGTGTGGGAGAGGATGGCAGACACTCAAGGATGAGCTCGGGGAGTGGGGAACTGGGTTCCTTGGGGATCTCCCCCTCCCCACTCACCCACCCACCAAACCCACCTCACCTCCTCCCACTGCGGTCAGCCATTCTGAGACTGGGTGGCAAGGCATTGTGACCTCTTGCCATGTGGGGCTCTAAGGTAGGGAGGGGCTGCTGCTGGTTCTGGCCTCATAAGCAACTGGCGGCTCAGGTGGGCCTTAGCCAGAGGTTAGCTATTTCTGACAACTAAGACTCACCCTCTTGCCTCTGCTGGTTCTCTGCCCTAAGGCCCTCCCATGGGGATGAGTTGCCAAGGAGGCATTCTAACCCCATCACCGCATAGGTGGCTGACCAAGGGAGGAGAGGCTGCCTCCCCTTTCCTGCAGGTGCTCAGAGCTGTCCAGGGATGCATCATCCAATTGGCCTGTCCAATGCTCTTTCCCTGAGAGTAGGGTGACGCCTGTGGGCCCTTGCAGGAGATTTTTCAGGACTGCAGCCCTGGAATGCAGAGATAGACTCCACCACAAAGCAACATGAGGCTTTCTGGGGCTGGACTCCCACGTGACCTGCTATATGGGAATGGGCAAGAGGCAGCTGTTGAAGCATTTTAAGGTCTATGGTTTGTACGAGGTGTTTGAGATACTGGGATTCCGGAAATGGCATAGAGGTCTACAGCATAGTAACCCCCAAACTGGAGGTTAGAGTTAATCTCTGAGAATGAAATTAAAGAAAATGAATATGATTGGTCACCTAGGAAAGAAACCTATCCTCACTGGTAATCTGTAATTGGGTGATGGCTCCAACACATCCCAATTCAGTGACTTGAGAGGTAAGAATGGAAATGACGTAAGAATGGAAATGGGTCATAACTGAAAGAACTTAATCCTTGTCCACATGTCATACTTTGAAGGAAAACTCCATCCCATGATGGAGTGAGGGGAACATGGCCATACAGCCCCTAGGAGAGGAGGAGACAGGTAGAGAATCAGGCTGCATATCTGCCTCCAGTGGACTCTATCCAATCACTCCAGCTTGGTGGCCTTGACATCTTTGGTGGCTATGGGCTCAACAGTCCATGGAGCCAATGTCACCAGCCTTCGAGACGATTTATTGATTGCCCTTGCTCTGGCTCTTCCCGGAGCAACAAAGCAATGCCTGCAAAATTTCAAGGGAAAATGATTTTCAACCTAGAAACATGTAACTGTTCAAATGACAAGTGTGAAGGCAAAATAAAGACACTTTAAACCATACAAAGTCTCAAACATTTGATTTTGCATATGCTTTTCCTTAGAAAGTTACTGGAGGATGTGCGTCAGAAAAACAAGGAATTAAACTAAGAAGGAGGATAATATGGGGCTTAAGAAATTAGGCTAAACACAGGCAGCTGTGCTCTCAGGTGAAAAAGCAAGCAACTCAGCCTGGCATCAAAAGACAGATGTTCCATGTGGGATGTCTCCAGAAAATGAAATTAATTATCTGTTTTTAGACATATTCAAAGTAAATGTTCAGTTCTGTTGGAAGCCTTGGGATTTAATGCACAATTGGCACCTGGAAAATCAAGCAAATGATACAATAAAGCTATTACTAGCTCCAGGGAACACAAAAAGTTGAACAGTAATGTTTACATGGTCATAGTATAAGCTCTGCACATTGACTCCAGTGATTTGGATCTTTTGGGACAATGGGAGGAGGGCAAGTGTATGTTTGTGTCTTTGGGTGTGCATGGGTGGGAGGGTGGTAAGAAAGCGAAATTCTTCATTTCATGGCAGGTAACACCTCAACATAGAAAAATCAAGAAAGAGCAGTAGAAACATAGAGGTAAATACAAGGAAAAATAACAAGAATTTAAAGTAGGTGACTTGAGAATACAGAAGCATAGAAAAGTCTTCTATTACAAGCCTTGATGTGAGTTACCTCTAAAACTATATTCTGTAGTATTTTGATAAAACTGATTTAAGTTTAAAAAAAGCAAATCAATATAGGGTCATATAGGGGAGATTGGGAATAGACCCTCCCAGGATGAATGAAATACTAATTTCCTAATGTTATGTGGATGTACTCTTGTGGCTTGAGATAGTATTTCCAGGGACAGTGTCAAACACCACCAAACTCAGGAAGTTGTGAATCTTATGCATTTTAAGTGCAGGTGTTCTAAACCTCCATCTAGCGCTACTCAACCTTTAATATCACATGACTCTCCTGGGGTTAAGTCCTTTGGGAACCTTGTTAAAATGCAGGTTCTGATTCAGTAGGTCTGGGGCATGGATTCTGCATTTCTAACAAGCTCCCAGGGGATGCTGATGATGTTGGTCCTTGGCCACACTTTGAGGAGCAAGGCTGATGTACAGAAGAGAGACAGCTGGGGGAGGTGGTGGTGAGGGGAGAATGGGTGCATGGGAAGGTGCCTCCCTGTGCATCTAGGTACTGTGGGAGTCCCCATAGTGCTCACCTGCACCATAGGGGGAGCACCTAACAGACAGTGAATTCTGCCTCGGCACGCAGCACAGATCAGGAGGCACAGGTAAGCAGCAGATTTCACCGCTTTTCTGTCCATACAGCCACACACATAGCCTCCTTTCTTAATTTTGTTTTGTTCCATCTATGTATGTGAGAGCAAGAGGACTGCGTTAAGCTGTTTTCTCCATCTTTAATTCATCTGGTTAGTGTTAGAGCCCCTGGAACCACGTATTATCTCACTTCATCATCACAGTAATCCTGGGAGGAAAATATCATCACTCCCATTTTATAGATGAGGAAGCTGAAGCTCAAAGAGGTGAAATTTCTATCCAAGGACACCTAAACTGATAAATAGCAGAAACCAGATATGGAATTAAGCCACTGTGGCTCCAAGGTCATTTATCCTGCCAGCCCATCCTGGACACCAAAATGCCTTTAGGCAGGTGTTCCCCCTCAGTCTAGCTCAGTTGTGCTTTGCAAGGTAGCCTGGCCCTTGTGAGGCTACGAAAGATCCTCTTCCTGGCTACTGGGGCTAGAGATCTGGCTGTGCAAGTACTTGGGAGTGAACCTGTTGTCGCATTCTGGGAGCTGCTACCTCTAGAACCTGCTTCCAGGCTTGATGGCTTTGCAGCCCAGGTACCCAGTGGCAAGGGCCAAAGGCAGTAGCCTGGCTGGCAGTACAGAGGGGTGTGAGGCGATGAGGAAATTATGAAGAGGCATAAGAAGAGGGATAAGAAGGTGCTGAGGGGCTCAGGGGGCTTAGATGGTGTAAAGGGGCCCTAAACATTTGCCCTAAACATAGGGCAAAGAGACAAGGGGTACAAAGGGGTATGAAGACAGATGGGGGTACACGGACTCAAAAGGTACGACTGTCCTGCAAACCCCAGCCCCGAAGGGAATGGCGGGAGGTGGCTCACATGCCCTACCCTGTCAGTCCCTTGAACAGGTCTCCCCATTCATGGACTGACACCTCCTTACCCATAAAACCTGGTACTGTTGGGAAGAGTCAACTTCCCTCCAGCTCTGCTTGGTCCCCTCTAACCTTGAATAATATATTATACACATACTTTTTGATCACTGACTAGGGATCAGGCACCAGGTACTTTTTTAGGCCCTGAGGCACAGCTGTGAATATTTGGGTACAAAGGACTCTTTTGGAGGGTTGCTTACCTCCTGCTGCAAGGGAGGAGGGACCCAACCATGAACATATCCTAAATAAAACATGATAATCTCATTGGTGTTAAGAGCCTTGAAGACAACTTAATGAAACAGGGTGAGAGGATAGAGTGTGTGTAGAGGATGGATGAGCATTTCATCAGAATGTTCAGGGAAGGCCCTTGGAAGCAGGTGACATTCAAAGGTAAAATGAATGATGAGGATGCAAATCTGAATGATGAGGTGAGCCAGTGCAAAGGCCCTGAGGCTGGATGGGGCTGGTGCATTGGAGGAACAGCTAGAATACCTGTGTGGCTGGGCGGATGTGAGCCAGGGGGGGAGCATGGGGAGATGAGGTGGGGAAGGTGTGAGTGGAGAACCTTGTCAAGAAGGACCTTGCAGGTGAGCCCTGTAGAGACTTGAGGCAGGAGGAACTTGAGAAGATTTGGCTGCTGTGTGGGGACTGTCTTGGAGGGGGTAGGAATCTCAGGAAGCTGAGATGTCCTGGCCCCATATACCCCTTTCTCCCCCCGCCCCCCAATCCTCTGCAAAACTTGGATGGGTGAGTGCCAGAGACAGGGAAGTGGCCAGACTGGGCTTTGTTCAGACCTGCATCTTGCTCTATGGGAGTCTGTCCTTGCTTTCCACCCCTTACCACCACCCCACTGAAACCTTGGCCTGCAGTACCGTCCTTCTGCCCCTGACCCAGCCAGTGCTTCAGGGAGCCTTGGCCTTGGTGTAGCTACCTTGAGTTTTTCTAAGTGCCCCTCTAGTGCCTGGGACCTTGGCAGTGCTGTCAGGCAGGGGTTCCAAGACCAGACAACACCTGTGCGGAGTCCTGTCCCGGTTACTCCCTTTTGGGCTCTGTACCCACAGCTCGTGGGGTGGACCAGATGCCTGAGGAGCTCCAGGACTCACCTTTATGAGGTCATCCTGGCCTCTGGCGGCCTCAGTTCCAAGACCCCAGGGCGGTATTTCTTTGCAGAGATCCTTCAAGATAGAGCTTCCAGAAGGGTGCCAAAATGCTGACTTTGGATGATTCAAACTGTTTATATAGATAGTGTCCCAGTAAAAAAAAAAAACAAAAAAACAAAATTGCTCAGAACCCTGCGTCCTTCAGAGGATTCCCAGCCACCTCTGGGCAGCGCTTCTCACCTGGGGATGGCAGTATCTCTCTGAGGACTCCTTGCAAGGGCAAAGCATCGGCCAGAGGCGCACAGTGGACGCATTTCCTTCCTTCTGGGGAGGCGACCCTAGCGTGAGAGAGTCAAGGGGTCTCCGAGGGGAAATGAGCAGAGTCCCGCACTCTGGAATCCCAGGACAGGGTAGTCCCGCGGACACACAGCCGGGACTGCGGGCCGGAGAGTAGAATGAGGACGGGGCGGCTGGGAAGCGGAAGGGCAAAACACCCAACGAGCCTCAGCCCATCCACTCCGGCCCCAGCCCTCTGGATATCGGCTCGGCTTCTCTCCTAGGATTATATAACACCAGAACGTGGCAGCTGGGTGAGCAAAGGAGGAGGGGATGGGAGGGAGGGGAGAGGAGGGAAGGGGAGGTCGGAGGTGCGGGGTGGTTGGCGCTGCTGGGACGCACCGCCTCTGACTGTCCATCAGAAGGACTCCTGGAGGGCCAGCCCTCCTCCCATCCCCCAACCTCCATCTCAGCTTCCCCTTACTCTAGTTTCTGTCCCACCCCCAAGCAGGCGGCCTCTGGCTGGGATGGATTTCCCACTTGGGTTGTAGTTTCCTCCCCCAGAGTTCCCAGCTTTGCTGCCTTGACTATGCCTGTAGCTGCCCTGAGGTTCAGTTTATCAGTTTGTAAAATGAGGCTGGATCGAGAGGCCACGTGTAAAGCGCCTGGCATGGTACACGGCACAAGGTGCCCACTATGGGACCAGCGCCTCACAGTGAAATCGAGGGTGCCAGGGGCTTTGCGGAGGGAGGCTGGGGAGGGTGGGGCATGGTCTGTGAGGGCGGAGACCTCCGGACGCCCGTCGGGGGTCCGCCCCGCTCTTTCCTCCCGGCCCTCCCTCTGCCTCCTCTTCGGGGTCCTCGGCCAGTGAGCAGGCTGTGGGCGGGTCGGAGGCTGGAGGGGGCGTGAGGCGGCGGCAGGAAGGGGCGGGGGGCTCCGGAGCTGCGGGCAGGAAAACACCAACCCACCGACCGCCGAGGCCCAGTGCCTCCGCACCTCTGGGCTTCACCATGTGGGGCCTCCTGCTCGCCTTGGCCACCTTCGCGCCTGCCGTCGGTCAGGGTCTGGGAGCGCCCGGCACCTCCCTGCTGGGCCTTGCGCCGCGCGCCAGCACCGAGGCCCCGATCTTTACCTCGGTCCTGCCCAGCCGTCCCGCACAGCCGCCCGCGGGGAAGAAGAACGGTGAGCGTCTCCCGCAGGACCCACCTCTCCTACTGGTGGTTGCCCCATAACCCGTCTCCTGCGTGGCGACCCTTCCCCAGCACACACACACGCACACAGTTTCCGACCGGTGCAGTGGATGCTGACTCAGCAGCCTAGTTCCGGGCAGACCAAGTCAGCAGTCTTGGGACGCTAGCCAGTAGGATGCTGCCTCTTGCAACCCCAAACCTTCCTTTTTCCCAGATGAGGACACTGAGACCACAGTCAGGAGGAGGGGAGAAAGAGATGCAGACAAAGACACTGACAGTGAAAGGTTCAGAGCAAGACTATGTAGGAGAGGGTTTGAGGGCAGGCGCTGGAAGGAAGGAACAAGATAGGGACGGAGAGTACTCCGCTGAGGCCCTCTGGAGGGAGGGGGCTCTGCCTACGCAGGGGCAGAGGCAGGCTGCCTAACTTCCAGATGTGGGAGCAGAGAGGAGGAAGGAAGGGGATGGCAGTCCAGGAGGGCTTCGCAGAGGTGGCGAGTGGATGTTGGGTCCTTGATCACAAAGGGTGAGTGTCTCTGAATCAGGAATTGCTGAAAAGCAGGGCAGCCAAGAAGGAAACTGAATGTGCAAAGGCACAGGGGCACCAGACATAAAAATGTACAGTGTTCTGGAAGTACCTGTGGGGCTTGAGTGGGTGGGTGGGGGACTAGCGGCACCTGCCCTGTGCAAGGCCCTGTGTTGAGGGGCCAGCAGGACACAGGCCCAGCCCTGGGAGGCCTGAGCACCTAGGCAGACATGGTTTTGAGGACAGGATGTCTCAGCCCAGAGGGCACATGAAATGAGGGAGATAGCACGGGCTATTGGAGACTGAGTCTGGAGTTAAGGAGGGCTCCACAGAGGGCATCTGAGATGTGAAGGAATAATGGGAATTAGGCAATAGAGTCAGAGGTGGTGGTGGGTGGTATGATGGGGAGGGGGCAGCAGTGCAAAGGTGTGGAGGCAAAGAACCCAACTCAGCTCTGGAGTGACCTCACAGTTCCCGGAAGCTGGGTGTAGCTCTCCACTGGACGGGGTGAGAGGAGGCTGGCCAAGCGTGTAGTCACATCAGGAAGGAGAAGGAGCCAAGAAGTGGCTGGGGAGGCAGGTTGGGGTCAGACTGGGCAAGCCTCGAAGTCCATGCTCAGGTCCTCACATACTTGTGGTGGGGCCCGCCGTGGGCTCGCAGGCCTGCTTGGGATGGCAGACCTCCCCATCCGGAGTTTCATGCCATTCCCCCTCCCCCGGTGCTGTCCTTCCTGGTCCCCAGGGACCTCGAAACAGCATGTCCAGATTCGACTCATCAAGAAGAAAAAGGTCATTTTGAAGAAGCGAAAGAAGCTAACTAGCCCCAGGCCCTCGGTGACTTCCAGGCCCCCAGTGACTTCTAGGACTCCAGTGACTTCCAGGCCTCCGGTGACGAATAGCCCTGCAGGGACCCTTGACTGCCCCAAGGAGCAAGAACCAGGTATTACCCTTCTGGGGACCCTGCCTGGATTTGCAGCCCCTGGGGCATGTGTGTACGCTTGACCTCACAAACACAGGAGCACCCCCAGTGGGGCCAGCGTAGACTCAGCTTCCCACCTGCTCTGGCCATCTCTCTCTTGGTCTGTGTCACACTGTTCTACCCCTGCCCCCAGGCTGTCCACCTTTGGGCCTGGAGTCCCTGCGAGTTTCAGATAACCAGCTTGAGGCATCCAGCAGTCAGTCCTTTGGCCTCGGGCCCCACCGAGGACGGCTCAACATCCAGGTCAGCACCCTGGCTCAGAGCGAGGCAATCCCTAGAACCTTGCTTCCTGCTGCCCCCCACAATTCTGGCCCACCCTGCTCTGCCTACCTGGGCCTCACTGCAACCTCCTGTGCCCACAGTCAGGCCTGGAGGACGGAGATCTGTACGATGGGGCCTGGTGCGCCGAGCAGCAGGACGCGGAGCCTTGGCTGCAGGTGGATGCTGGGCACCCCATCCGCTTCTCAGGCGTCATCACTCAGGGCAGGAACTCTATCTGGAGGTGAGGCAGGCTGGCCCCAGGAAGACTCAGGAGGGCTGGGCTGGGAGTCCTGAGGGCTACCTAGGGTCTCTCCCCACCTCTCCTGCCAGGTACGACTGGGTCACTTCGTACAAGGTCCAATTCAGCAATGACAGTCGGACCTGGTGGGGAAGTAGGAACCGCAGCAGTGGGATGGACGCGGTGCGTAGTGCCATAGTGGTTCGGGCCCTTTATGCTGGGAGTTGGGCACCCAGCCAACATCGGGGTGCTGGACTGGCTCGGGGCTCCTCTGAGGAAAAGGAACAGATGCCTACTTGAGCATTCCAGGAGAAGAGGGGTGTTGTCAGGATGGGTGGTGCCGAGCAGGCAGCCTCAGGAGGCAGGCTGCCTGGAACACGCCGGCATTCTCCCCAAATACTCTTCCATGGGGTGGGCGCCACTTCATGCCACAGCTTTCTGCTGGAACACCCGTGCAGCAATGGGTCTCAGGTCCTTGCATCGCCTCTCACCTCCCCATGTCATGGACCCCTTTATACACCTGGTTACAGTGTGGGGTCCTGGCTGGTTTTCGGATTGGCTGCTCCTGAGTCCTATGTCCATATTGGTCTGAGCTGTGAGCCAGCCGAAAAGCATGGCTGCTGAGGGCTGCTCTTCGGCGGGAGCTGTGGGCCAGGGTCCGTGTTTGACACCAGGTGCAAGTCTCCGGCCGAGTCCGCCAGGGTGGGCTGGATGGGGAGTTTGGAGGCCTGAGCTCCTTTCCTGGGTCTTGGGCCAGGTTGCTGAGGTTTTGGCAGCCCCACCAAAGGACTTGACACTCCCAGGTATTTCCTGCCAATTCGGACTCAGAGACACCAGTGCTGAACCTGCTGCCTGAGCCCCAGGTGGCCCGCTACATTCGCCTGCTGCCCCAGACCTGGCTCCAAGGAGGTGCATCTTGCCTCCGGGCAGAGATCCTGGCCTGCCCGGTCTCAGGTGGGCAGTTGGACAAGGGCTGGGTGGGCAGGGTGCAGCCTTCACTGTGAGCTCACCCTTGACCATGAACTCACCCTACACCAGATCCGGCACCGGCATTCTCCAACCCTCTGGACTTTCGGCATCATAATTATAAGGCCATGAGGAAGGTCAGACATAACGCCTGTGACCCAAGAGGGAGGAGCTGCCCATCCCAGGTCCCCTTCTCACCAGAGCATGACCTGCAATGACTGCCCTCATGTCCCCTCTCCCACCCTCGCTGTCTCACCCTCCTTTCCTCGTTATGGCACTTTCCCTGTCTGAGCCTTTCTTCATGTCTTCTGCTGCTCCCCTCTGGTACTATGCCATGGTGTCCCCACCTGTGTGGGCCACCACTGGCTTTAGTAAGTCCTTCCATGGCCACATGGGGTCTGACCCTCCCACAACACGGCTCCACTCCTCCCCTCCCCAGCTGATGAAGCAGGTGAACGAGCAGTGCCCCAACATCACCCGCATCTACAGCATCGGCAAGAGCTACCAGGGTCTGAAGCTGTATGTGATGGAAATGTCGGACCATCCTGGGGAGCATGAGCTGGGTACGGGCAGGGGGGATGGGAGAGGTAGGCACAGGGAAGGGCCGTGGGCGCGAGCCAGCCATGACCCCGGTGTGTTCCCAGGAGAGCCTGAGGTGCGATACGTGGCCGGCATGCACGGGAATGAGGCCCTGGGGCGTGAGTTGCTCCTGCTCCTGATGCAGTTCCTGTGCCATGAGTTCCTGCGAGGGGACCCACGGGTGACCCGGCTGCTCACGGAGACACGCATTCACCTGCTGCCCTCCATGAACCCTGACGGCTACGAGACGGCCTTCCGCCGGGTGAGCCGCCTGGCACGAGGGCCGCCCTGCTCCTCCTCTAGTGCCTGGAGCCTGCCCGGCTGACCAAGCCCCTTCTCTGGCAGGGTTCAGAGCTGGTGGGCTGGGCAGAGGGCCGCTGGAACAAGCAGACCATTGACCTTAACCATAATTTTGCTGACCTCAACTCACTGCTGTGGGAAGCAGAGGACGACGGGCTTGTACCCAACACTGTCCCCAACCACCATCTGCCACTGCCCACTTACTACACCCTGCCCAATGCCACTGTGAGTATTCGGGGGGCAGTGGCGGAGGAGCACCCTGGGGGCCCTTGTCTCCACTCCCACCTCCCCTGACCTGCCCCCGTCCAGGTGGCTCCTGAAACTCGGGCAGTGATCGACTGGATGGAACGGATCCCCTTTGTGCTGAGCGCCAACCTCCATGGGGGTGAGCTCGTGGTGTCCTACCCATTCGACATGACTCGGACCCCGTGGGCTGCCCGCGAGCTCACACCCACACCGGATGATGTCGTGTTTCGCTGGCTCAGCACTGTCTACGCTGGCAGCAACTGGGCCATGCAGGACCCGGACCGCCGACCCTGCCACAACCAGGACTTCTCCTTACACGGCAACATCATCAACGGGGCCGACTGGCACACGGTCCCTGGGAGTATGTGCTCAGGGGTGGAGTCAGCCCTGTCCCCTACCCCAGTCTGCTGTAATCTGCTATCACTGCTGTCACAGACAGCGCTGGTGTCACTTCCCGCCCGGGAGTGTCTCCCAGAGGAGGGTACCAGGAGGGCAGGCTCCCGTCCTGCCTGCTTGGGCTCCAGTGTCAGTGGTTCCCCTAGGCATGAACGACTTCAGCTACCTGCACACCAACTGCTTTGAGATCACTGTGGAACTGTCCTGTGACAAGTTCCCCCATGAGAACGAGCTGCCCCAGGAGTGGGAGAACAACAGAGAGGCCCTCCTCACCTACCTGGAACAGGTCGGACCCGAATCCCCACCCCTCGGCTGCCCCTGTGGCTCCTGACTGACCTGCTCTCCATTCGGGCTGCGGCTCCCACCATGGGGTCATCTAAGGTTCCACTGAGCATTCTGACTCACAAGGTGCCACGGGCCATAGATGGACTCAGAGGCTATGGGACAGGAAGCCCAGTTTATCAGCAGCGTAGCAGCAGACACTGCTAGCCAGTAAAAGTAGACCCTGCAGCACTCACAGCTGTGTTTCTGAGTCGCTCCAGGGCTGTCCTCAAGAGGGCTGTCCTCAGAAATGACTCACGATAGGCAAACGCCATGGTGTAGATGCGCCACACTCCACAGGAACTCATGTCCATTGCGATGACTCCATAAATATAGCTTCCAAGGGTTCCAAAGTGACAAGCCAGTAACAAGGGTCATTGAACTTGGGGAAGCCTTCCTACCAGGTATTTATAGTTCTCTCAGTCCTGATGCAGCTTATCAACAGGAGACACTGTAGCCGAGTATCGTCACCTGGGAACTTAGTAGACCTACCAGCTTTATCAAGTTTGCAGGGGAACAAAGCCAGAAAATGAACTGAAGGTCAAGGTCTCATGCAGAAGGGAAAGGGTTTGATAACCTTTCCCCACACAGGTGCGCCTGGGCATTGCAGGAATTGTGCGGGACAAGGACACGGAGCTTGGGATTGCTGACGCTGTCATTGCTGTGGATGGGATTAACCATGACGTAACAACTGGTGTGTGTGGCGGGCAGGGGAGGGTGGAGGTGCGGGAGGGCTTTAGGTTGGGCCAGAAGCTGAGGATCATTGGGCCCTGATCTTGCTCTTTACTCCTCTCAGCGAGGGGTGGGGATTACTGGCGCCTGCTGACCCCAGGGGACTACATGGTGACTGCCAGTGCTGAAGGTTACCACTCAGTGACACGGAGCTGCCGGGTCACCTTTGAAGAGGGCCCTGTCCCCTGCAATTTTCACCTCACCAAGACTCCCAAACAGAGACTGCGAGAGCTGCTGGCGGCTGGGGCTAAGGTGCCCCCAGACCTCCGGAGGCGGCTGGAGCGGCTAAGGGGACGTAAGGATTAACACCTTCGGCTGAAGAGCCCCAGAGCCTTGGGCAGGCTGGACCTGTCCAGAACTGAAGGAGGGGGACTAAGTGGGGAGGGAGGGAGAAGTGGGGGAAGAGGTGCTCAGGCTCATTAAAGCTACTTGGCACCGCAGCCAATCTTCCAGTGAACTCTGTCCCAGATCCTCTCCCTGGGCCGGGCCTCAGCTTCCCCTCCTCCCGGTTCGTAGATTCCATTCTGCACAGACTTGCATGCTCTCATCAGCTGACTTCTGGAGAGATACTGTGGAAAGACAACCCCACCTGCGTTCTTTTTTAGCTTAGGGCTCATTAGAGCTACTCATCAACATATCACGCAGTGCTGTCGAACATTCTGGAAGCACCTGCTCAGTGCCAAGTATGTAAGGTGACGAGGATAAACAGTGCCCACACCACTGGGGCTCCCAGTCAAGAGGGGACAGTTGAGGCCAGTGTGAGGTGTGCCGAGGTAGGGGCTGGTTGCTGTGGCAGCGCAGGCGGGAGTTACAGATGCATGAAATACAGCACTGCAGATCAACAGGGACTCAAATGGTCAAGGATGCAGTACAGGCGATGGTTCTAGGAGTTTAGATGGGAGATGGGCCAAGTGTGAGGGTACAGACAGGGACACCTCCAAGGAGGACATAACCAAAGATAGAAAAGCTGAGCATCTGGATTTCCTTCACCAGCCATTTTTGGAAAGAGTTGGTAAAAATGGCGGGATCTGGTTAGTTTCTTTCAGAATGTCACGCGTCAGTCTGGAAACGCTGAACACTGGATATCAAGATGTTGGAAGAGTTGGATGAGAAAAGGTGGAGGGAGAAGGGAATTTTACCTGGAACTCAGGAAGCTGGGGACACTGGTGGTTAAGTGTTGATGAGCCAGTGTTTGGCTGGTGCTGGTGCTCGAGCCCACGTGGGGCCACCCACGGCCACGGCAGTTGCCTGCCGTGGCTAGAGACAGAAACAGAATAATTTCCTCCGCCTTTCTAATCTCCAAACTGTAACGTCCACTGGCAACACATAACTGTAACCTAGCTTGCAAGGAAGCCATGAAATGTAGTCTCCAGGCTTCCTGCCCCCCTGCAACTCAGAGGAGAGCTTGCAAGGGCAGGAATGGGGCAAATATAAGAGGTAAAAAATGGTGCAAAGGCATCCATGTAACTTACTGTTACGTAAGCTCTGCCCAGTGCTGGGCTGTTGCACTGTTTCTGTTTCTTGGCATGTCTCTGCCCCTCAAAGTTTCAATCTGAGATCAGCACAAATGGACTTAGGGCCACATCTCCCTACTCCTTTTCTCCCCATCTCCAACTCCTCTTATAGCATCGATTTTTCTAAAAAAAGGATTTGTTTTTATTCATCAGAGTTTAATGTACATAGTGAAATGCACATAAGTGCATAGAATGAATGAAAAGACATGGCCTGAGTATATAGTACTGAAGATAATAAACTCACTTTATATAGAGAGATATAGGCACCTTGAAAGTAAGAATGAAAAATTTTTCATGCAGACAATAATGGCAAGCAGGAGTGGCTATCTTAATATCAAATAATGCTGACTTCAGGTCAAAGAATTACCAGAGACAGAAAGGGACATCGTTATATAATGATATAACTGAACACGCCCTGGTTTGTTCTCTGGGTAGCTTAGAATCAGCTAGTTCAGCATAATTGAAATAGCATGTGAACTCCCCCAGCTGATTTTCCAAGCTCTGGCTTTTCTCCACGTCTAACATGACATTCCCCTGGCCAGAAAGCTCCCTCTGTTACATAGTTGCCAAGAGGTTCCCAGGTCCTTCCTACTTTCCTGATAAGTATGTAAAGTAGAAAGAGAATGGGGCCCTTCTCATGGAGCTCTTTGAACAGTGAGGTCAGCCCTGCCTGGCCTAGCAACCCACCTTTAGGATAAAGGCCTCTGGGGCAATATATGCTCTTTCCCAACTCTTTGCCTGGACGTTTCCTCCAATAAACTCCAAATAATTGTGTCCATGCCATGTGTCATGAGAGCCGCTTGCCTTTGCATCCCACTTGTCATTTGTGACAAGATGAAGAATACTTCAGCATAATCTGGTAAAGCTGAACATACAACGACGTCCCTGTGTACAATGCATACTATAGAGAAGCTCTACACCTGGGCAAAGAGATTCATGTAAATAAATGCTTATAGCAGACTTCTTTATAACAGACCCAAATTGGAATCAGCCCGAATGACAGTCAAGAGTGGAATGTAGAATGACACACGGTACACTTACGCAATGGATTGTACACAGGAATGAAAACAATCACTAAACACACAACATGAATAATAACTCATGAAGACAATTTTGAGTGAAATAAGAAAAACAATAGAAAAATTGGTTTATATTGTTTGTGGATGTATGAGTAATAAAGGAAATCAAGAACATGATTATGATAAAATTTGGGATAGCAATTGATTCTGGGGGAGCCATGGGGAAACAATCGGGGAAGGGGACATGGGGCGTTTCCAGAGTGCTAGCAATACACTTTTCCTTTACCTGATGGGAGTGCATTGGTGTCCACTTAAAAATATATCTTGAACTTTCTGTGAACATTTTATGCACTCAAAAATTATTTGTTTTCATTTATAAAAAATTACATATGATAAAATCCAGTTTTTTTGATGCACACCTCAGTGAGTCCCACATATGATTCCTGTGACCACCACCACAGACACACACATGAAGAGCCCTCCTGTGCTGTCACTTATCTTCAGACTCTCCTCCCGTCCCAGCTGTAGGCAGCCATGAACCTCTTGTCTGGTTCAGTGTTTCTGCATTCGCTCAGTAAATTCTCAGCAGGACAAACTCAAAGAAATCCACATCTAGGCATAGAATCAAATTGTCAAAAAGCCAAAAACAGAGATTCTGACAGCAGCAAGAGAGAGAAGTGACATGTCATGTACAAAGGACAAAAAAGAAAGTTCTTTCGTCCAATAAAAGAATTTGGGATCTGACTGGTGTGGCTCAGTGAGTTGGGCATCATCCCGCAAACCAAAAGGTTGCTGGTTCAATTCCCCATCAGAGCACATGCCTGGGTTCAGGGTTCAGTCCCCAAATGGGGTGCATCTTACTGATGTTTTTCTCCTTCTCTCTCTCCTGCCCCTTTTCTAAAACTAAATGAGTAGCATCTTAAAAAAATGAAGTGGGTAGTTTGCTTTCTTATTTTTGAGTTCTGAGAATTTGATGCAAGTCCTTTGCCTGATATGTGCTTTGCAAATATTTTTTTCCAATGGTGCCTTATGTTTTTATTCTTTTAAAAAGTATTCTTTGCAGAGCAGAAGCTTTAAATTTTGATATAGTTCAATTTATCATTTTTTCTTTCATAGATGGTACTTTTTGTGTCCTATTTGAGAACTCTTTGATTAATCAAAAATCGTGAAGACTTTCCCTTATGTTTTATTCTGAGAGTTTTATAGTTTTGCATATTACATTTAGATTTATCAACACTTTAAGTTAGTTTTTATATATGTGAGATGTAAATAAAGGTCTGTTTATTTATTTGTTTGCATACAAAGTTCCAGTGTTTCCAGCACCTTCTGTTGAAAACCTGCCCTTTTTCCATTGAAATGCCATCTGCTTGGGTCTGTTTCTGGAAGCTGTCATCTGTGGCATTGGTATGCATCTGTCCTGTCACCGGCATCACACTGTCTTGATGACTGTGGCTTTATGGCACAATTCAGAGTTGGCTAGTGTGCACATGCAAAAGAATGGACCCTTGTACAGAATTTAACTAAGAAATGCATCAACATCTAAACTTAAGAAGTAAAACTATAAAATTCCTAGAAGAAAATATGGTGAATCTTCATGACATTGAATTTGTTGATGATTTCTTGAATATGACAGCAAAAGCACAGGCGACAAAAGACAAAATAGATGGATTTGACTTCATCAAATTTAAAAACGTTTTAGCATCATAGACTACTACAAGAGAGTGAAAAAACAATACACAGAATGGGAGAAAATGTTTACAGAAATGTAAGTATCCACAATACATAAAAACACCTACAATTCAATAATAACAAAGTAAACCAATTAAAAAATGGGCAAAGGACTTGAACACATTTCTTCAAAGAAGATAAACAAATGGCCAGTAAGTACATGAAAAGCTGCTCAATGTCATTAGTCATTAGTGAAACCCACATCAAAGGCCACAATGAGATAGCATTTCATACCCATTAGGATGGCTATTACCAATAAAATGGAATATAACAAATGTTGGCACTAATGTGGAAAAATTGGAACCCCGTGTATTGTCAATGAGAATGTAAAATGTTTCAGTTGCTGTTGAAGAGTTTTAGTGGTTTCTCAGAAAGTTCAACATATGAATTACCGAATAACCCACAATTTCACCCTCAGGTATATATCCCAAAAGTTTTAAGCAGGAACTCAGATACTTGTATATCAATGTTCATAGAAGCATCATTCAGAGTAGCCAAAAGGTAGACACAACTCATGTGCTTATAAAAAACTGAGTTAATAAACAAAATGTAGTGTGCACATAAATAGAATATTACTCAACTATGAAAAGGGATAAAATTCTGATATCAGCTTCAATAAAGATAAAACTAGTTAGCAAAAAAAAATATTCTGGAGTATGGACTGATTTCCAGTCAAGATAGAGACATAAGTAAACATGCTTTGCTTTCTCACACAACTACAGCAAAAATTATAACTACACTACAAAACAAATATCACCCAGATTCATCAGAAATTGAGCTGTATGGAAATCAGACAACCAAGGATTTAAAGAAGCCACACTTATCCCAGTGGGTAGGAGAGGTGGAGACGCAAAGAGGCAGTGATATGGTGGTCTCGCATTCACATGTAGTAGATAAAAAATGGGAGGGATACCTTGGGAGTGAGTGATCCCAGCCTCAGACCAGACTATACAGCCCAGGGTTCCAGAACCGGGAAGATAAATCCCCATAACTTCCTGCTGTAAAAATCAGTGGGGGTTGGGTTGGGTGAAGGAACTGCAGGAGTCTCAGGAGACTCCTTTTAAAGGGCCCACAAAGGTCTCAGGACTTATGCAGACCCACTGCCTCTGGGATTCAGCACCAGGGCAACAGCTGAAAGGGCACAGGTGGCCTATGGGGAGAAAGTGAAGTGACTGGCAACAGGGTGAGTGCTGGGGGACAACTTCCTCTTGGAAAAAACTCCAGAGACCAGGCAGCAGCACTGTCCTCTCTCCAGGCCCTGCCCCACACAAAGCCACAAGGTGGTGAAATGAGTTGTTCCCCCATGGCAGTTACTTAAGGCTCTACCCCACATTATTCATAGATGCCTTTTCTACAATAGGCCATGCTAGGGCATTAAAGCACCTCTCCCTGATACACAGAAACAAACAGAGGGATGCTGCCAAATTGAAGAGACAAAGAAATATAGCCCAAATGAAAGAACAGAACAAAACCCCAGAAAAAGAAATAAACAAAATGGTGATAAGCAACCTATCAGATGCAGAGTTCAAAACACTGGTTACCAGGATGATCAAAGAACTCATTGGGTACTACAACAGCATAAAAAAGACCCAGGCAGAAATCAAGGTTGCATTAAGTAAAATAAAGAAAAATCTACAGGGAACCAACAGTGGAGGGGATGAAGCCGAGAATCAAATCAACGATTTGGAACACAAGGAAGAAAAGAGCATTCAATCAGGACAGCAAGAAGAAAAAGGAATTAAAAACAAATGAGGATAGAATAAGGAGCCTCTGGGACATCTCCAAATGTATCAACTTCCAAATCATAGCGGTGCCAGAAGGAGAAGAGGAAGAGCAAGAAACTGAAAACTTATTTGAAAAAATAATGAAAGAAAACTTCCCTAATTTGGTGAAAGAAATAGACATCCAAGTCCAGGAAGCACAGAGAGTCCATAACAAGTTGGACCCAAAGAGGACCACACAAAGACACATCATAATTAAAATGCCTAGGGTTAAAGATAAAGAGAATCTTAAAAGCAGCCAGAGAAAAGCAGAGAGTTACAGATAAAGGAGTTCCTTTAAGACTATCAGCTGATTTCTCAAAAGAAATTTTGCAGGCAAGGAGGAACTGGCAAGAAGTATTCAAAGTGATGAAAAACAAGGACCTACAACCCAGATTACTCTATCCAGCAAAGCTATCATTTAGAATGGAAGGGCAGATAAAATGCTTCCCAGATGAGGTAAATCTAAAGGAGTTCACCATCACAAAGCCAGTATTATATGAAATGTTAAAGCAAACTATACAAGAAAAAAAGATCAAAACTATGAACGTTAAAATGGCAACAAATTCAGAACTATCAACAACTGAATCTAAAAAAACAAACTGAGCAAACAAGTAGGACAGGAACAGAATCACAGAGATGGAGATCACATGGAAGGTTATCAGCTGGGGGGGTGAAAATGTGGGAAATGATTCAGGTATTAAGAAGCATAATTGGTAAGTATGGAATAGACAGGGGGGTGTTAGGAACAGTATAGGAAGTTGAATAGCGAAAAATCTTATATTCATGACCCATGGACATGAACTAAGGCAGGGGTGGATTGCTGGAAAGAATGGGGATACCAAAAGGGGAAAAACTGGGAAAACTGTAATATCATAATCAATAAAATACATTTAAAAAGTAAAATAAGCCAGATACAAAAATATAAACATTATATGATTACACTTATATTAGATACTGAAGAAAGGTACATTCATAGAGGCAGAAAGTAGAATAGAGGTTATGAGAGACTAAGGGAGGGGAGTGGGGAGTTATTATTTAATGGGTACAATGTTTCTGTTTGGGATGATTAAAAAGTTCTAGAAATAGTACTTCCAGCATTTACAACATTGCGAACGTACTTAATGTCATGAACTGTACACTTGAAAATGCTTACAAAGGTGTATTTTACCACAGTAAAAAAGAAAACACTAAAAAAACCTTCAAAAATTGACCAGTGTGAATCCTTCATCTTTGTGTTTTTTTTCTTCTTCTTTTTGTTTTTCAAAATTGTTTTGGCTATTCTAGGTTTTCATTTTATTTTTTTAATGAAATTTTTAAAAGATTTTATTTATTTATTTTTATACAGAGGGGACAGGAGGGACAAAGAGAGGGAGAGAAACATCAATGTGTGGTTGCCTCTTGCACTCCCCCTACTGGAGACCTAGCTTGCAACCCAGGTATGTGCCCTGACTGGGAATTGAACCGGTGACTCTTCAGCTTGCAGGCTAGCACTCAATCTACTGAGCTACATCAGCCAGGACCTAGGTTTTTAAAAAACTTTTCTATGTACATTTTAGATTTAG